AGGCTGAGGGACCCCCTCTCCCCCCCGAGTGCACAAATTTTTGTGCACCGGGCCTCTAGTAATCCTAATAATGAGGGAATATGCAAATTGACCATCACACTATCACAAAGATGGCAGCACCCACAGCAGAGGTGAGGTTTCTGTAGCACAAGATGGCTGCACCCACAGTGGAGACCGAGTTCCCATAACGAGCTTTAACGAGCAGTCAGTAGGGACCTGAGGCTACATGGTGCTGGGCCGGGGCAAGGAACCTGAGGCTGCACCCCACACCCAGTGGGGCTTGATGGGACCTCAGACCATTCCCCCCACTGTGGCGCCAGGCCAGGGGACCTCAGGCCATGCCCCCCGCCCAGCAGGCCTTGACGGAGGACCTCAGGCCAGGACCCCTGCCCTGGCACCGGGCCAGGGGACCTAAGGCTGTGCCACCTGCACAGCGCCGGGCCAGGGCACCTGAGGCTGCACCCGCTACCCAGCGGGGCTTGATGGGGGACCTCAAGGCACACCCCCCGCCTGGTGGGGCTTTATGGGGGACCTTAAGGTGCAACCCCTGCCTGGAGGGGCTTGATAGGGGACCTCAAGGTGCTCCCCTGCCCCGGTCTGGTCTGGGGGTCCTTAGGCTGTGCCCCCTGCTCTGGTACCAGGCCAGGGGACCTCAGGTTGTGCCCCCTATCCCAGCACCAGGCCGGGGGACCTCAGGCCACACCCCTTGCCCAGCGAGGCTTGACAGGGGACCTCAGGGTGCGCCCCCTGCCCCCATGCCGGGCCGAGTGACCTCAGGCCATGCCCCCTGCCCCAGCGCTGGGCCGGGAGACCTGAGGGTGTTCTTGGGCCCTAAGGCTGCGCCCCCTGCCTCCATGCACCAGGGGACCTGAGGCTGCACCCCCTGTCCAGTGCCTGGCCGGGGGACCTGAGGCTGTGCCCCCCACCCAGCAGGGCTTGTCAGAGGACCTGAGGCTGCACCCCCCACCTGACAGGGCTTGATGGGGGACCTGAGGCTGCGCCCCCCACCTGGCAGGGCTTGATGGGGGACCTGAGGCTGCGCCCCCCACCTGGCAGGGCTTGATGGGGGACCTGAGGCTGTGCCCCCTGCCTGGCGAGTCTTGACAAGGTTGGGGCTGGCCAGGTCTGGATCTCACCCAGTGGGGGTGGGGCCAACTGGGTCTTGGTCTCGCATGATTTTGAGGTGCTGTGAGTGGGCAGGGACTTGACTCTGGGTCCCACAATGTGCCCCAGACTCTGACAGGAGGAAGATTTTCATATACATGTTATTAATTTTCTTTCATCTCTGACACTTCTATTATAGAGAAAGGGCAAATAGCGATATTTAAATATTTCCTCTAATTAATCCCCTTTTAATGTGCATGAATTTTGTGCACTGGGCCACTAGATAATAAATAACAATTCAAGAATAAACTGTGTTTCAGGCACTCACAACTGTAAACCTACTTTTGTTCCACCCTGAAGTTGATGTGTCCACACAGATGGGCCTAGCTGGCAGATTAAAAAAATAGAGTATTGTTATGAATCAGAAAAAGCTGCATCGATGTCACTTTCTGGTCACCTCCAATGAGGATGGATATCAGTTAAGGAGTTTCTAGCTATCAATCTGAGTACTAACAAAGCTTTAGTAAAATTTGCCAAATAAAATTTGGTGTGTATAGGAAAATTATCTGGGACTTTCTGTGACTGCTGCTGTTATGTGGCCTACTTGCATTTAAAAAATATTTTTAAAAACTTAAGACAGAATCTGTGTCTTATACCTTTTTGCTCCTTTTTAGTCCCTTCCAGGGTGTGTTAAATATTGGAGAATAAGACATATTAATTTGATTAATGATTGAAAAAGTTTTTTGGTCTGTTTTCAATTTCTGCTACAAAATAAAAGTTTCTCTAATGAATATTTGGACTTGGAGATAAAGAAATGAAATAGCCAGAAACTGAATAAGCTAGTCCACTGTTTCCTAAACTTGCTGAATGCTTGAATAACTAGGTGGTCTTTGAAAAGTTTCAAAGCCAAGGCGACACCCAAGACAATTAAATGATAAAGTAGCAGATGGATGGGGAGTGAGACACGGGTATCAGTACTTTTTCTAGTTTCCTAGTGATTGCAATGAGCATAATGTTTGGAAACTACTGAACTATTTTATCATATACGATGGGTGTCACTTTCAAACTTGACTTCACTCTATTTAAAATGAATCCTCCTCCAATTAAATATTTTCATGTAATATCTTGTCTAAATATATACATAACAAAGGTTGAATAGAGATTATATGATATAGACTGCGTATGAATGAATGTTGTGGGACTGGAATGTGAGACCATAAAATTTCTCTCACCATATTTTAGAAAACAGAAGACAAATAGGAGTATTTAGAGAAACAGGATACACTTAAATTATAAGATTCACTAAAAAAAAAAATAGTCACAATAGAACATTTGATCTGTATAGAATATTTAATGTTTGCAAAAATGATAATACTATGTGATACTTCACTGTGTTTTTTATCTATTAATTTTGATTGCTAATGTCTTTAGAAGAAGCTTATTGTGACTAGTCAGAAAAATCAAAATTAGTACATGAAATCAAACTTTTTCCTTTTTGCCATGTGTTTTTTCCCCCCCAGGGCTTTAGTTAGTGAAATATATACAGACTTAATATAATATTAATAAAGCGCCCTAACCGGTTTTGCTCAGTGGATAGAGCATCAGTCTGCGGACTCAAGGGTCCTGGGTTCGATTCCGGTCAAGGGCATGTACCTTGGTTGCGGGGCAATCCCCAGTGGGGAGTGTGCAGGAGGCAGCTGATCAATGTTTCTCTCTCATCGATGTTTCTAACTATCTATCCCTCTCCCTTCCTCTCTGTAAAAATCAATAATAATAATAAAAATAATAGCTATAACCTTCAATTTATTGAGCATCTATTTTAGGTTCTTTTCATAGCTTGTTTCCCTTATTGAAATTGACTTTGATATTCCTCTCTTGTATTGAAAAGAAAATGGACATTTAGAAACACTAATCAACTGACATAACTGATAAGTGGCAAAGCTGAGATACTAAGCTAAAGTTGAAAGCATATGATTTTTAGCTTATTTCATCCTTATTTCGTCTAGTCACAATAGCTGTTTGTTTATACTTTATCCAACTTTACTATTCTTTCCAGTACCTCTGTCACTTTTTAGTAGACTATGAAGATAGAATTCTAAGAATGACTTTTAATTTGGTCATGTGAAAATCCGGAAGGGCTGTGTACATATATGTGTGTGGTTTTAAGTGAGCAAACTTTGAGTCTGGTTTTACACATGTAAGGGTGAGATAAAAACAAAAATGAGATGCTTGTAGGGCTTAAAACTGTTGAGCGTTTGGAAATTGGCTCTTTCATGTGTTTGCTACAGCCAGTCTGCTGCTTTGTGTCACACTTCCCTGCCATATGCAGGCCCATTGGCTCTTTTCCTGGGGAAATTGTTTATTTTAAATCACACTCAGAAGACACTATTGGCTAAACAGTGGTTATCCCTGTTTTCTGCCATCCAGAATCTAATATTATATTATTATTGTACAACTAGAGGCCTGGAGCAAAAATCCATGAATGGCAGGGGGAGGGGGTGTGTGTCCCTCAGCCCGGCATGCACCCTCTCCAATCTGGGACCCCTCAGGGGTTGTCTGACTGCTGGTTTAGGTTTAGGGTTTAGGATTAGGGTTAGGGTTTAGGGTTAAGTTTAAGGTTAGGGTTAGGGTAAGGGTTTAGGGTTAGGGTTAGGTTTAGAGTTTAGGGTTAGGGTTAGATTTAGAGTTTGGGGGTTAGGGTTGGGTTAGGGTTAGAGTTAGGGTTAGGGTCATGGTTTAGGGTTAGGGTAAGGGCTTAGGGTTAGTGTTAGGGCTTAAGGATATGGTTTGGTTTTACTGTTAGGGTTATGTTTTAGGCTTATGGTTTGGGTTAAGGGTTAGGGTTAGGGTTTAGGGTTAGGTTTAGTGTAAGAGTTTAGTGTTAGGGTTAAGGTTAGTGTTAGGGTAAGTGTTTAGGGCAGTGATGGCGAACCTTTTGAGCTCGGCATGTCAAAATTTTGAAAAACCCTAACTTAACTCTGGTGTCACGTCACATATAGAAATATTCATGATTTTTTTTTTATATTTGCAGCCATAGTAAAAAAAGATTTATATTTTTGATATTTATTTTATATATTTAAATGCCATTTAACAAAGAAAAATCAACCAAAAAATATGTATAAAATGAACAAAAACAGAAAATAATGTACATTTAGGAAAAAATAATAAAAACAATGATAATCAAATGGTATGAAAACTAGAAATTAGTGACTTTTTTGGTGCTGAAGTTTGTCTGCTAATTCTTCGATTGGAGACTCATACTTGGTGCACTTCAAGGCCAAGCAAATGCCATTAACTTCATCTGTTAGCTGGTTTCTTTTGTTCGTTTTAATATTATTTAATGCTGAGAACAAAGTCTCACAAAAATATGTTGATGAAAAAATTGTTAGCAAAGCCATTGCTAGATTTTTTATGTCGCTAAAAAGTTCAGGTACTCTGTTCCAAGCACTCAAAATTTCTTGTTCGTAGTTGCACTCTTCTTCATTATTCAAACGATTTTGTTCCAGATTTTCAAGTTTCGACCTTAAGTTGACAAACACATGAGTCCAAATGCTACCTTGAAAATCTGCAAGTTGCATCTCTAAATCATCAATTTGCATCCATTGGAAATCCTTTAATTCCAAAGTACTGTAAACAACTACATCCGGATACCTAATTATTTTAATGGTCTTTTCTAGGCTTCTAAACTGGTTGAATCTTTTGCTGAACTGTTCAGATAATGAGTTTACTATATTCTGGTACATAAGTAGGAACTCCATTCACTCATTGTAGTGGCCTTCTCGAAATACTTTTTTATCCGAGGAAAATACTTATAAGTTTTAGTTTCAATATCTCGCTTGAAAATTTTAAGTCTACTTTCAAAAGATTTGATGTATCCAAACATAATGTCAATACTTTTGCATTTTAAGTTCAGTTCATTCATATGAACAGAGAGATCTGTAAAAAACATCAAATTGCTAACCCACTTATGATCATTGATCTGAGGAAAGTTTGCCAGATCCTTATTCTCAATAAATACCGTAATTTCTTCAAAGCACTCCACAAATCGCTCAAGTACTTTACCTCGACTCAGCCATCTCACATTATTGAACATCAGTAGTCCACTGTAGGTTGAATCAACTTCCTGTAAAAGTGCAGAAAATTCTCACTTGTGAAGGGGT